GGAAGTTCTTATTTATTTTCTCCACCTATTGAATTTGGCAAGTTTGATAAAATAAACATAGATACTTACTTTTCATCTTCCTTTTCTACTCTTTCATCCTTTTCTCCTATTATTCACTACCCCTACTTTTTTTACTCTGTAAACATTGTGAAAAAGCTACTGGGTAAAAAAGATTGAGGGTATTCTATCAAATGCATCGTTTCCTGTTTAAATACTATGATCATCTTTGTCATTCCACTTTATTGGCAGAGTAACTCTCAAGTTCACGCACATTGGAAGGGAGCAGCAGAAATCATTTTAGAGTCATGCACTTGGTACTATGATTCCAATGGTTGCTTGCAGTCCATTGAGAAGGAGAAGGTGTGTAGTTATATTGCCCAACAGTTTTTACAAGTCTTCCCAAAGACACTGCTCCCAGTTGCTTGAGGAAAATTTTCTGAGATTCAAGTTTCAAAATACCATTAATGTCATGAAAATAAGGATTTATAATAGCATGATTATTTACTCTCTCATGAAATCATCTTTTCAGCATTTTTAGTATTATGTTTTCAGGGTTTTTTCAAGGAAGCTATTGAAGATATGGCATCAAGAAGTTTGAGGTGTGTTGCAATTGCCTACAGAACTTGTGACACAGACAAAGTTCCAACAGATGAAGAACAGCTCTCACAATGGGATTTGCCTGAAGAAGATCTTATTCTGCTTGCTATTGTTGGTATAAAGGTATGCATTTGAATTGCTGGCCATATTGTCCTGCTTTTGACCTTTCATCCCCATTTGTGTATTGAGTGTACCTCTCCTGTTCTGGTAGGTGTTTCTTTGAACTATATTCTGAACACGTGTTCTTACAAGTGAAACACATCAACCTCATGTTGCATGCTTCCTTGCTGAGCATTTCATATCATATAGGATAATAAGTCTCTATTTCCTTGCACAGGATCCTTGCCGCCCTGGTGTCAAAGATGCAGTGAGACTCTGTACAGATGCTGGTGTTAAGGTACTTATTATTCCTTTTAAATTGTTTAGGAATTAATGATGCGGTCTGTTAAAGCATGATCATAATCATAACCAGTAATGGACAACATAACTGTCACGTGAAGTTAGTTTTCATTCAATGACATATCTAGAGCCCATTTAGAAGGGGCTATTTGGCTTAAATATCTGAACGTGCCTAGTTTTCTGAAAAGAAATGCGTTCGGTATCATCCAATTCAACTAAACAAGAAAGTCAAAAGCTACTAGTTCTGATATGTTTGTCCAGCTTATAAATAGACTAAACAATTTTAGGTTTTACTGTATTCGCATTATATTCTTTGATGAAAGACTAAGCAGTGTTGACACTTTTACATGAATGGGGGAACCCTTAGGTGCGCATGGTTACTGGAGATAATATTCAAACAGCTAAAGCAATAGCTTTGGAGTGTGGGATTTTATCTCCTGATGCAGATATTACAGGGAATGATATAATTGAAGGGAAGGCTTTCCATGAGTTACCTGAAAAGGAAAGAGAACAAGTTGCAAAAAGGATTTCGGTTAGTTATTGATAATCCATTATTTCTTGTAGAGTCTGTCCTCACGGTAATATAACACTGTTGAGTTTTTAGGTTATGGGGAGGTCATCCCCTAGTGACAAGCTTTTACTTGTACAAACACTGCGTAAACAAGGAGAAGTTGTTGCTGTTACCGGTGATGGAACCAATGATGCCCCAGCGCTCCACGAAGTTAGTTTCCTTCCTTTTTACCCTTACTCTGATCTCTTCTTGATAAATAGAATGATACTGAAAACAAATTAATAGTGATTGAAATGTTATATGACCACATATTATATTGATGTACTAGTATATTTTTATAAAAATAAAAAATATATATATCATAATACACAGCCCTCGAAAACCTTCCTCTCTAAACCGCTCCAAAACCATCCATCCAAACAGAGTTTTAAGGAATGGGGATGAGCCAATCCATTAACTCACTTTAGTTATTATGCATTTATGCTGTTTAATCACGACTTCTTAGTTAGAGACTGGATCGCATTACACAGGTTTTTAGTTCACACACAATATTTCTTCTTCTCATTTACTTGGGTGTTTTACCCATTTTAGTTCCCTAATAACTTAATCCATTTCTTTGTGGTCCGTACAAATTTATATTTCACTTCAAAATTTGCAGATCTTTTATTCAACTTTCATTAAACACAGAACTAGTGTTTTGCATGTTTAATAGTGACTAATATTTTTAGGTCTTATACATCTTGTGCGGGTTTTATTATATGTTTTTACTTTTTGTGCATAGGCTGATATAGGTCTAGCCATGGGCATTCAAGGGACTGAAGTTGCAAAAGAAAGTTCAGACATCATCATTCTAGACGATAACTTTGCTTCAGTTGTAAAGGTTGGTAAATACCTTAGAGCTTGAAGAAATGTTCAGTTCCTTAGACGTCTGGATGTGGCCCAATAACAAGGGATCATAATCATCATATGGATATGTCTTTTATTTTGGTCCTACTGTAGGTTGTACGTTGGGGACGTTCTGTTTATGCAAATATTCAAAAATTTATCCAGTTCCAGCTCACAGTCAATGTTGCAGCCCTTGTTATTAATGTTATAGCAGCAATTTCATCCGGTGATGTCCCTTTAAATACAGTGCAGGTCTCTCTCTCTCTCCCGGACCCTCAGTCTCTTTTATTAATTTATGAAAACAGTGCATTATTTATTTATCTTTTCTCCCTTGTTTCTTTTGGTCTTACGTCCCTCCTTTTTATCAGCTTCTTTGGGTTAACCTTATAATGGATACTCTTGGAGCATTGGCACTGGCTACTGAACCCCCAACTGACCATCTGATGCATAGACCTCCTGTTGGTAGAAGGCGAGGATACTTTGATATCATTGTTATTATTACTATTATTAAATATATATATATATAACGCTATTTGTACACATTTTTTGCTTATAAGTTATAACTAAGTCATGTGAGATTTGTAATGGTGTTGATGCTTGCTCTAATACCTGTTGGTAAATAAATCTCCAGGGAGCCTTTAGTAACCAATATCATGTGGAGGAACCTGATTATTCAGGTCAGTGACTGTATATGTCGCACACATGATAATTCATTATTTCTGTAATACTTATTCTATGTTTTTGTAAAACAAAGAATAATTGGGGTTTAGACTTAGTCACTTCACAGTATTAATATATACACTGGACGATCTCATATTTGCATTTGGTATTGGGCAGGCTTTCTATCAAATTGGTGTGCTCCTTGTAATAAACTTTTGTGGCAAGAGTCTTCTAAACTTGGAGCAGGATGGAACAGAACATGCTAATATGGTGAAGAATACCCTGGTATTCAATACCTTCGTTCTCTGCCAAGTAAGTGTCCTTAATCCGAACTCCAAAAAGAAATTAATCTATTATGTGACCTCGACAATGTTAATGTATGTTTGCATGTTTGTGTGCGTTTTTTAAAGAAGCTAGAAAGTTGTGTCTTTGTCTAATTTCAGATATTCAATGAGTTCAACGCTAGAAAGCCTGATCAAATGGATGTGTTTGAAGGTGTGACGAAAAACCCCCTCTTCGTTGGGATCGTGGGAAGTACTTTTGTACTCCAGGTCAGACTAGTCTTTTCATGTGTTTACTCTACTTTTCTCTGGCGTGTAGAAGTGAAATCATTTTTCTTGTGTTTTTGCTTAATAGATTGTCATCATTGAGTTCCTTGGAAAGTTCACTTCAACAGTCAGACTCAATTTCAAACTATGGCTGATTTCACTCTGCCTTGGGCTTGTCAGGTAAGTAACTAAGTACTACTCCCCAATATATATTCTCTGATACATGTCCATTGACCATTAATTGTGCAATAATTACTTCTTAACATTCTGGAAAAAGATACTCCGTACTACGTAAATCTTAACAATGTTGTCTTCAAGGTGGTGATCTTTAACAATTTATGAAGTGATGATCGAGCGTAATATTGTTTTGATAAGATAAGTTGTGATTGGTTTACAAAATTTATAAAAATGTATGGGTTGGATAAAGTAGAAATTTAAAATAAGAATAAGACATACACTCTTTACCCAACCACTAGAAAGCGTTATTTCTATTGTAGTATGAAATACAGACATGAGAGTCGAGACCACAGACAGACACTCCCGTGCTAGTAATAATGCTGTTTCTTTTTCTTTTTGTTTTGTTTTTGAAAACCGGTGATGCAGCTGGCCGCTAGCGATGCTCGGGAAAATGATCCCAGTTCCCAAGACCCCATTGGCAAAGGTGTTCATCAAACCCTACCGCCGATGTATTGCAGCTCGTGATACTCCCCAATAAATGGCTGGTTGCTTGCCCCTCATCTCTAAACCTGTTGCTGCCCCACCCGCCTGCCCAATATACATATATTTCTTTTTCTCTAATTGAAGATATACGTGGCTGTCATACTCCCAGATAATCATATACTCAGTAGTTGGAAATCAATCATTATAAATACATAAACTCCCATTGTAAATTACATACACCTTACTATTCTATACTAGTCAGCAACATTCTTCAACATGCATTGTATTAGTGAAGTAGGGGTTGAACCTATAACTTCATAAAGGGGTTCCATAGGCAGCGTTACCTATAACTTCATATTCCAGTTCCAGGTTGGTTTACAATAGAACCAATCTGAGCCTATTATGGAGGAACCAGTATCATGCTTGGACCAGCTCAGAAATGGTTCCGATCCAGAACCAAAAAATGAGCAACTGGTGTAGTTCTTGACCTGTTTGTTCTGGAACAAGACCAGATCTATATTCATATTTTTATAACAAAATCATCAAAAGTGTAAATGGAAGGCTATCTATTGTGATACATCATCAAAAGTGTAAATGGAACTATGGAAGGCTATCTATTGTGATACATCATCAATGACATGATAAGACTTCTGCAATAACTTGGAGATGGAAGAATGAGTTGCCAATCAAGCACATACAAGAAAAAGAATTGAGAGTTCTACACTAATGTGCAAATAACATTGTTCCAATTTGGGATGCATAGGATAAATAAAACACTTCGTATTACATTAAATTACATCACATGAAATTCCGCACAAGTGGCGGTTTGTTCAAATCTTTATCATCTTCCACAACGTACAGAAGAAAAAAAAATAAAAGAGATATATGATGGGAGATTCTACAGCCAAACCTGACCGTCCTCTTCTATGAAGAAATGTGAATCTTTCGTGGCGCTTTTTTCTATGAAAACGGGGGATGGGTTTACAGTTTCAGGCAATGACCCTAGCAGAAACATGAATATGCAAAGTGGTTCTTTTCGGAGACGTAGTGGGAAATGTAATTGGTCGAAGAAGATCCAGAAGAAGAAACAGCTGCTGGAACAAGAATCCGAGTCTTTCCATAAGAGATTCTCTTACCGGCAACATTTGCATAGAATAAGCCTGAGATGGCTGGCACAAACACATCGCTCTCTGAGCATATGTACAAGTCAATTACCTTCTCTAGCTCGGCAGCATCTGAGTCCAGAAACTTTGCCTTTTTATCTATTGGCATTATGCTTTCCTGAAACATTTCCAAAGCATATGATGAGATAAGGCCATATCCATTGCCTATTAACATTCTTAGATTGACTTGGCAATTGGCAGGGTTTTTTATATAATATTTTTTTCTCCATCAGACTTCCAAATTCGCCCTTATAGATTAAAGATTGAAGCTTGAAACTAATAGCAGTGGTCAGTGAGGATATTAAATAAGGCTAGTTAAGTACATAGATGAAATTTCATAAATGAGGAAGGACTTTATCCAGCACAGATAGAAAGAAAAGGGGAACATGAACGTTATTCTTTTAAGTTATTGGAGTAAAACATGTTTAATGTAAATAAATAGATGTATGCTTGTCATATTTGAAGAAATGTGAGATCTTCTAGCCCTTTATTTATGGAATTTTCCCAATAATAATTAGGGATGGGGCCTTATTACCTTGGTGTATGTTTTTGGGAATAGCTCCTTCAATGAATCAAGGCTGCTGTCCCACCGGGATTGTGTCAAATATATAGTTGTGTCCCTATTAAACCCCAGTTTTGTCAAAAAAACTGCAATCTCCTGAGGGCTGTAGCAGCTCTTTGATCCAGGGGACCCATTTCCTTGGCAACTTCTTTTCTCCAGAATATCTACCCTTAGATCGACAGCCACAAACTGTCCACTAGACTTCTGACTCAACGTTCTTAATCTCTCGACCATTGAGTCAACCACTTCACTAACATCAGGTTGGAGTTCTAAAGTCCCAAACATGGCCAGACAAGCAATTGAATCAGTGCTTTTCTCTTCTGAACTTTTCTTCATATTCATTGAAGGGAAGTAAGTCACTAGTCTTATGTTTCCCTTCTCTCTGAAAACCGGCTCAATATTTTCTGCAATTTCTTCTTCAGTAACCCGACTAGGAACCTTCACCACAGCAAGGTTTCTTGCAGAGATGCCTGCGGGTGGAGATGTGGCTACTTTGACCACTCCATCAAGGCTTTTTACAAACTTCTCGACACTGTATATATCTTCAAAGTTCCTGACAAATGAGAAAATAAGCAATGCATCAGATTTTGTTACATGTTTGTGTAACTTTGTGTCTTCATTCAAGGACCAACAACCAACCACCGCTTCTTTAGTTCAATACCAAACATTCACCCAAACATCATTTGGGTCTACAAACATTTCCTTCTCTAAACTTTATCATGCATATCATTTTGATCCATCAATTTTGTTTATAAAACTCACGCGATGCCATGTGACACGCTGCTAGCCACATGGTACCCCCACGTGTTATTACTTGCAGAGTATTATTTTACCTATTAAGATCAATTTACTTAAGTTGCATGCAAAGTTTATGAAAATTGAATTCATGGTTGTACACATTACATATACCTAAAACTTTTTCTGTGATAAATCTTTTGTGTAAAATTAACCTCATCATATAGATATTTTAACAGACAAGAAATACCAACTTTGCACAAACCTTTTATCACTGGGATCGCTTCCCCTGACATCTGGGAGTACAAGAGTTGCACGCAGATATTTAGCAACTACTACTGCATCAGCAATCTGATGAAGATAAATATGGATTTGATTTAGAATTCAGATAAATATGGATAGCATGACAGCATACAATCCATGATGCCCATGTTTAAAATGAATGGACAAATGGACACTAGAACATTATATTTCAGACTCAAAACAGATGTCAATGAATGTAGATATGTGATAGCACACAAGAGGTGTCTTGAGATTATGGACTGAGTGACTGACAGGGAAGGAAACAGGATGAAGGATAATATTGATATGATAAAATAATTCAATCAAATAACGAAGTCATGGAGAACAGAAATACCTGTGAGATGTGATACTCAGGACCATTTGTCAATGAGAAGGTCAGATATCCTTGAGATTGGTCTTCGTCCTCTATTGGGAAATGAAAGACATTATAAAAATGGTTGTTTATAATACTGAAATGTTAAAGGATCAGATCATTGATGGTTAATGACATGAGAGTTACAGTAGCTCACCTGAAACTGGTTTAGTCCAGCATGGTTTAAGGGATACACCATCACTTTTCCAAGGCCCATCTCCCCCAGGAAGTGACAGTTCTGAGGTTTTGCTAGTGCCATGTATGCCCGCCTTTTTAATAACAAAAAGGAAACAACAAAAGTAAATCAGAAACCTTGAAACTTGTATCACTGCAAATTCCGAACAATATTTCAATTTCTTTTTCACATTACAACACAAAGTGTCAATAATATATATCGTCTCTGAAACCATTCAAGGTAGCACCAAGTAGATCAACACTTGTTCACAGTAGGCCAGACAAATACTCCATTCCTCCAATACCCATTCAGTCTCTTGAAAGGTACTGAGCCAGATCCATGGTTAATCTATTGATCCGTCAGTTATTCGTTGTAGGCTCGCATTAAAGAACTTACTAAATCCATATAAACCCACTCTCCAGTTATAAATGGGTTGTTTTGGTCAGTGTTTATTATATTGCTAATCAAGTATATCACCTCTATACAAAACTACAAAATGCTGGATGTATTGGATGTATTTTACTGTGTACGGTCATAAATGGATCAGTGTGTTCTTTATTAATAAAAATCCATTGAAATCCAAATAAGAACTCATCAAATCGGTCCATTTGCTGTACCTAGTTCAGAGGGACTAAAGCTTCTCAAATCACAGAAAAGTACAAGTGAGGAACTGAAACAAATAAATAAAGCCGGGAACACTGAGGAGGTGGGGTAGGAAGCTTACCGGAGCAGGGTCGAAGTGGTCTCTCTTGATCATATTGCCGAGCATGACGAACATGGCGATAGTCAAAACTCCCGCCACCAGCTGTCTCGGATCCACCGCCATTTCTTCAGATCCGACACTCCACTCCCTATATTCTCTCGCCTTCTTCAATATGCGTGTGAAGTGAGCTACTGGTAATGGCAAAAAGGTTGAGCGAGATTCAAGAAGCAAATCGCAGCAAAGCAAATGATTGCTTAATGGATGTGGGAATGCTCTATATAAAGATGGAAAATAATGCCTGGAATCAATCAATCAAGCAAAGAAAAGGAGGGCTCAATCACTGGTCAGCGTACATTATCATCATCATCATCATCATATACTCCTACAAATTATGAGTGAGATACGTATATGTATACGTATATAAGGAGTGAGGAGTGTTTGTGGGGCCGCGATTTCATGCCACCGACATCTCTCCGATAATGACGACTCCCGGTCCTGGCCCATTGTTTCGTTGGACTACAGTGTTTGGTTGCATATCTCTCCAAATCCTTTTGAGCCTATATTCCCTCTCCGCTTTTTTGCTAGGTGGGTGGGTAAATATTGAAAATTTTGGAATTGTACAAAAAGTCCAATTTCAAGAATTGAGTCAATTGACTACAAAATTTACATATCCTTAGCCAATCATAAATAAAGGTTAAAAGTTGAGTTATGTTATTACCATAAAAGATAAATTAGTAAAGGGATGTTTGGAATTGATTATGTTTATTTTTTAAAAGTAGAAACAGAATCGTGATCAATTTTTCAGAAGCTGATTTGCGTCAACTTTTAAAAAACTATTTCTAGGAATAATTTAGAGCATCCAGAAATACTTATGCACTTTCACTTAAATATTCTAATATTTAATTCTGATCTTTGAAGGAGAAGAAGTAGCTTTAAGAAGTAGAGTTATATTCTAACACCCTCAAAATATGTAAAGGAAGGCTAGTTTAATTTTTCATATTTTTATTTTATTAATAAATACAGACTATATTTTAATTATAATGTTTCACGGTACAAAAAAATTACGGGATTGGCACGGAATTTGGCATGGACTTACCGATTTTTCGTGCCAAATAGCTCGTGCCAAAGTGTTTTTGGCACGGATTTGGCATTTCCCTGCAAAAATCTCTGCCAAGTCTCTGCCAAAATCCCTACCAATCCCGTAGTTTTTTTGTACTGTCAGTACAACGAGCTCTACTTTCTGTCGGGACGGGCCAATTTTTTAATAGCAAACCATATCGTTATATGATTGTATGTTGTATTTAGGTGGTAATAGCATGAAAATTCAGAAACATAAAAGGCTAAACAGTAAACACACAAAATTCGTATGTTTAGTGAAGAAACTAGTAGATCTTAGTCAAAAGATCGCAATGAAATATGAGTGCTCCACATGCCCCAAAATAAAACTTTATCATTTTGACTTATGGAGATTATTTGTCAACTATTAAAAAACTATACGGAGTATTAAACTACAACATGAAAGTATTTTTGAACAATAATGTTAATATAAAATATTAAAAGAGCAATTTGTCTGAAATGACAATGTCTCCTTTAGGGGCGTTCTTCAGCTCGATTTTGTTGCTTTTTAGTTTAGGTCAGTTTGATTTTGGAAAGATCGAACTTAAAATCTAAGTATCGAACGAAGTACCTCTACTCGGTTTAGGTTTGATTTTTTCAGTCGGTTTTAACATGTTTCGGTTAGTTAGGTCAGTCGATTTTTTATGCTTAAACCCAGGGGTGGGAAAACCCGAACCGAAACCCGAAAACTGACCCGGACTCGGACCGAAAAATGTTATCAGACCGGGTTTTTTTATTTTTGACGGGCCGGTTAAAAAAAACCGGACCGAACCCGAAATTCCGGGCCCAAATCCGGTCCCTAAAAATTACAAACCGGCCCGGACCGCCAAAACCCGACTTGAATATTTCATTATAATTTATTATAAAAAATTAAGATATTCTGTGGAAACAAGTCCAAATACTCACTTGGGGTCTTCTAATTTGCTTTGTTTTTTAATCCATCTTAAAGAGATACATCATTTTGTCAGAACTTTGTTCTCTTTAGTCTGAATTTTTGCTGTTGGGATTTTGCTAGTATTTATGTTTGGCTCTTCATGAGTGTTTTGGATCAATACTTTCTTTGTGCTTGAAATATTGTTGCTTTATAGCCTTTGAATTATTGATTAAATAGTTTTGCTTTGACTATAATAGAAAGTGAGAAGGTTGAATCGTTTTGATTGATTATCGAACATTTTTTTGAATACTTTTTTTAATAAAAACAATGATATTTTTTATTGGGCTTTAACCGATCCTACTCGAACCTGGACCGAACGTCCGAACCTGAGCCTCAAAAAACCCGGCTCGGGCCAAATATGTTGGGCTTTTTTCCGGTCTCATTTTTTCATAACCCGAGAAGTTTCGGATAATTTCCGGGTAGAGCAAAAACCCGACCCAACCCGGACCGATCCCATGCACCCCTACTTAAACCTCAAACTGTAAACTTTGGGATTGTTGATTTTATTTCATTGTTTCTTTCGGATTGTTGATCATTTGGTTTATCAGTTTTTATCCAGCTTAATCTCACCCACAGTCCATTTGGGCTAACAACCTGCCAAACCTACAAGAAATGATGTTGACCCATGCAACAATCAAGTCTAAATGAGGATTCAATTTTTACGTAACACATTTTCAAAAAATATACTACGTATATTTTAATTATTTATATTAATATGTTGTCATAAAAAAGTTAAATTTATTAGGAAAAATTGACAAGAATAATCTCACCTTTCAGTGGTCTTCTCATAATAATCTCACCTTTTAATAATCCTAAAATAATCCCACTTTTGCACCTCATCTTCTTTCATTGAACCCTGGCCATGTTTTTTACTCTTTCTTTGAAAATTATATAAATAATCTCACCTTTCACTTTTTAATCATATCCTTATAAATGTGAGATTATTTATATAAGATTTTTAAAAAAGGTAAAAAAACTTGATCAGGGTCCAATTAAAGAAGATGAGATGTAAAGGTGGGATTATTTTGGGATTATTTAAAGGTGTGATTATTATGAGAAGACCAGTGAAAGTTGGGATTATTCTTGTCAATTTTTCCAATTTATTATCAATTAACTGTCGTAAAGTAAATCGAGAACCTTGAAATGAGACGTGTAGGAACATTTACAACTTGGACAATCCAATATAAGCCCGTCCAACAAAACATTTGTCCAGACATTCATTGTTGGGCCAATTGATAGATGTAGGCTAAACGCCCAATAGGCCTAGCAGTCCAAACACAATAAACTTTGTCATCATCGTCAAGCATCAATCGGACTCTCATTTCTAGTGTTTCACCATATAAGTAGCAAATATGATCATACTCCCTCCCTTTCTTAAACAAGTTCCACCTTTCCTTTTCGGGCAGATTCAAAATTAAGTTCCACTTTCAAACATTTCCTTATTATCTACATCAAAACAGTGTCAAACAGTGTCAAACAGTGTTCAAACAGTGCCAAACAGTACACTCCACAGTAAAGTCAAATTTATTTTCTTAATATGTGTGAAGTCAAATGTGGAACTTGTTTAGAAATCGGAAGGAGTATATCTTTTGGAAAAATTCATTGTAATAATCCCAACTATTGGCGGTCCGCTCATAATAATCTCAACTATCGATTATTTCAGAATAATCCCAACTTTAGGGACCTTCCGCCAATAATGGTATGACGTGATGGACTATAAATAAATTCCTATAGTTTCTAAAAAGATATAACAGGTAATCCCTATAAATAAGGGCTTTTTCCCTTAATATTACTAAACAAAAGGTGATTTCCAAAAATGTGACCACATTTTTTATTGGACAAAAATGTGACTAAGATGGTTATATATTTGGAATGATATAAAGTAACTGTCAAATATTTATGTCACTGTCCAATTTTCATGTCACTGTCAGATGTCACTGCCGTCGTCCATGTCACTTTCGCCGCCGCGCATGTCACTGCCGCCGCTGCCCATGTCACTGCCGCCGCCGCCCATGTCACTGTCGCCACCATTTGTGTCACTGACGCCGGCCACAGTGACACATCCGTAGTGACAACTCCGCGGTGACATTTTCTTAGTGACATCTCCGCCCCAACCTCCGACCACAATGACATTTCCACCATCCCACCACCACCAGCGACGGTCACAGTGACACATCGTCTTTGCCGCCATCTCCCCCCTCCCGAGACCCCTGCCCCCTCACCAGCCCCTCCCCTGCGCACCAGCCCTCCAATCACTATGACTACGGCCAGGCAGCCACAGTGACACGTCTCCAGTCACAGTGGCCCACCACCGGCGGTGCCGTCTGCCCTGTCACATCCAGAAACTGCCTCCCGTCAAGTGACCGTCATTAGTGCCCCTTCCGGAAACCACCGTCATACCCTTGTGCCTCCCCATCCCCACTCGTCTCCGCCACCCTAACCAGCCCAACCCTTCTTCCCCAACACATCCCAGCCTGTCATCAATGACATCGAAACCTTTACTAGTCTCAAACAATCACATCCCACTGCCCCACCCCTTCCCCGGCCTTCACAATCGTTTTTGAACTGCCGCCCACCCCCAATCGGAAACCCTAGATGCCCGCACAAGCAACTCGATCTAGGAGATCTAGATTTATATCTTTGTCACCTATTGGAATTTGATGTCGGGAAAAGAAGATTAAAGGAAATTGATCCGGCGGTTGTTTGAAGACATGAGAAAGGAGAAGAAGAAAATTTAAGAGTTGCAGTCAACGACGGAGTGAGGATCGGACCAAGCGGCGGAGGAAGGAAATGATAGAGGTGTTGTTGCTCATCGCCACTCACCGTCGTCGGACTTGAAGGCATTGCGTGAATGGCCATTTGCGTGAAGGCGAGACTGGAGAATGAACGACCTGTTGCAGACGGGAAGATGAAAGGGTCGGATAGAGTTTAGTTATATTTTTGGAAAATAGAATAGTGGTTATACTTTTGTCTTAAGAAAGCCTACTAGTTATATGTGTGCCATTTTTTCTATTAAAAATAATCCCTATAAATAATCCTAAATTTTAATTTTACGCTTAATTTCTATTAAATATTCACTTGTTAGAGCAGGTAATATGCGGTCATGGATCATTATTGGCGGACGGTCCATATAGTCGGGAGTATACAAAAATAATCAATAGTTGAGATTATTGTTAGCAAACCAGCAATAATTGGGATTATTATTTTCAATTTTTCCTATATATTACCTTCAATATTGAGATATCTTATATTCAAATTAAAAGGCATTCAACTTTACTCCTCTATGAAAAATTAAATTGATAAAATAAAATGGCCCAGGTAACTTAGTCTAATGCAGGTGTAAATCAAGGGTTGAATAAATCAACACATCAACAGATTGAAACTGCCGGAACTGCCACTTTTATCAACTTGGTCCAAAAGACAAAAAATAGAAATACACCTTTGAAGATATTACGCCGACACTGAAATATGGAGTAAACATTAAGGAGTATAAATCAGATTTTTTGTCCTAATTTTAG